CACACTGTACACATCTCCTTAATCTCTGAATAAAGCAACTTCTTCCCTCTCTCTTTCTCCTCCTCTGAGGCAATTTCCTGAGCTGTGGTCTGTTGCTGATGCTGATTAAGGTCTAGCAGCTCTTCAGTGATTAGCTCTTCATTTTGGTCCTCCACCAACTCTTCCACATCCTCGCCACTAACCTCCAACCCCAATGACTTCCCCAATGCCACAACACATTCCACAACTGGCATAGGGTTGTCAGGGTCACCCTCAAACCCTTCAAAATCTTTGTCAAGGACACATTCTGGCCACAATTTTCTCCAAGCAGAGTTCATCGTCTTGGAAGTCACTCCCTGCTAAGCCTTACCTATAAGGTTTATGCAATGGAGGATACTGAAGAGATCTTTCCAGAACTCTCTTAGGGTCAATTCAGAGTCCGAGGTTATGTTAAAGCACCTTTGAAACATTGCTTTGGCGTAGAGTTTTTTTGAAGTTTAAAATGATCTGCTGGTCCATGGGCTGGAGGAGAGGAGTGATATTAGGGGGCAAGAACTTCACTATGATGAAATTAAACTGCTTCACCATTTGGTCTTCCAAGTCTGGAGGATGAGCAGGAGCAATGTCCATTACCAGGAGTTTCATACGACCGCCAATTTCTAAGCCATATCACGAAAATCAAGCAAATATTTTGACGGGAAAAATCACCAATTTCCAAAATTCGCAATATTCAAGGGGGACGAAATTCAAGGGTCCACTGTATATGAATGAAGATACTCTTCAAGAAAATTAAAAAAAAAAAAAAAAAAAAAATACTTAAACCAAGTTAAAGATGGGCAACAATTCAATTTAATTTGTGATAAATGATAATTTATGAAGTCTATTCTTACAAATACTGTACAGTACTATATCAAATAATTTTTAAATGATGATGTAATACAGCATTTAGTCTGAAAACAACTATTAGTTAACAATGAGAAAAAATTTGCATGCAGACCAAAGGTCATATACATCAGGTTTTCTAACAAGTAACATTACCTTTTTAATTTCTGACATTTAAAAATACAAGAAATATGCAGTGTTACTTCCAGTAAGATAAATCCTTCAGTAACGAAGAATTCATGATCCTACATAATATGTCACAGTTTAAAGAGAACAGTATATAATTATGGATGCTTTATACAACTTTGCTATTAGGAAATGTTCTATTTCTATTTGAAATTCCATACATGCACTTTACCATCGCCATGTGTGATTGAACAGTTCGGAAAATTCATCAAATATTCTCATTATGTATAATGATGTGTTAATGGCCTGAGTGAGTTTAATATAAATGTCAAGAGCCTGGAACACATCAATATAAATCAAGGGAAACCTGTATTCTTCTAGATATATAGGCACTAAGGACAAAGGGAAATGAATGACAAGAATATTTAGTCACAAGCAGACATGACAGAATACAAACTGCATTTATATAAAAGACAAATGAATAGAATACACGTTGTGTACTATAGTATACGAGTTTGAGACTGCTTGATATGTGGGTACATTGTTAGAGAAACCCACTAGTGGAAGTAGATGGGACAGAGATTTAGCAATAGAGTACAGTACTAGAATATACAAATGTCTTTAGATCAAAGGTATACAGTACTGACAAGTTGACAAATAAGATAGCCAGGTGTTGCACATGTGCCATATTCATAAACTTGGCAGTATTATTATATAACTTTGATCTAAAAATTCCCCTACATTGCTACTCAAACAATTCAATTTACATGCTACTACAAGTATTGTATTTATTCCCCTGGGATGTGTACTACCTTTTCTGAAGGTGTCATGCAATAAGCAGCTGCTACAAATATTATCAATATACTTTAGGATATATAGCAATATACCCTGGAATGTGAACTAGCATTCTGAAGCTTGCATGCAGTAGCTGCGACAAATAATACCACTATATTTGGTGTCAAAATCAACACACAAATGAAGCAGCCAGAAACAAGGTAACAGTACATGGCACACCATCAGCACTCTAACAACCATGATCAACATCCTCACCTCAAATACCTTGCCCAGGCTCTCTCAATCCCATATGCCCATTGCAGATAGTCTAATGCATCAATATAATTTCCAGGATTATTTTCCTGATTTAATATAAAAAATCATAAGAAAATGCTAAAAACATGATCTAAAGCTATGTCTTGTTCTCTACAGCTCAGCGACTAACAGATCTTTGAGGACGAAATTTAAGCATCTATGTAAAAATTGAAACAACACTTGCGTCATATTAATGTTTGACAAGTGCTGTTTTGTAATGTAAAAAAAGTGCTACAAAAAACATACTGCTACTGAAGCTAGGTAATATAAATAATTTACCTGAGCTATCTGTTGTAAGGCCATGTAAGAAGGATGAAGTAGGTGAGTTTTACATAATAACTACAAATTGATTATTACAATATCAGCAACAGAAGTGATTAAATAAGGTTGAAATGCACGCTCTTATTAGTAACAGTGTATTTGCATTTAATTTTTTTTTAAGTCGGCTATAAAAATAACTTTTACAAAATATCTGATATCAACACATTTCATCTTATGTAAATACAATTACAGTGCTGAATTTGAATTATCACAGGTAACATCCTTCAACAAAATCACATGAATAATTTTCATAAATGATTAATCAAAGTTAAATTGACGAGTGATTATCACTATACTCTTATACCTAAGGATTTAGTATTTTCCCATAAAAATTATAATCACTCATTTGACTTAATTTTCACAGATTTTTTAGTGAATTCGATTACCTATGAGATTTATGGATGAGTGAAATATGCCAGATTAACCTAATGCACCATCCACGATCCAAACTATCTACTACTGTACTTCCATATCAATATCAACGTTACATTTTACTGCCATGACAGTGCAGACTATTATTTATTATTAATATACGACCAAAGCATAATTTTGTTTATCCTTATGCTCGTAATCACATTTATTTCAATGTTGCTTCGTAACTTAAATAAATTTTAATATTCTAAAACTCAAATACCTGCAATAATACTGATTAAAAAGTATGAATAGTAATGATACCTATATAAACTGAAATAATTATCTAAAAATACAAAGAAAAAGGAAATTGACTAAGTTTTCATCTACAGTATGAAAAAGCATTCTGAACTCTGCACTGATACTGAACTCTCTGGACCCAGTGAAGTCAGTGCATACACTAGCTCAATAATGACCTCCAATCGCCTCTGATCACCATGATCTTTTGCCTGTTTGCAGTTTTATATTGAGGGTCTTGGGAGACCAAATTGGAATTGTTTTACCCATAACCAAGAACAAAGAAGCAACTGTTGATGAGGTGGAATCTATGCAGGTATATCCTGGATATAATGAACCCTAAGAGTAAAGTACTAGTGATTCTGCTGAAATGGTGCACAAGGTGCTCTCCAAACTCAGTCTTGAGCAAAATTCACACAAGAACAAAGTACACCAAAGCAACAACCTCCTGCATTGCCAGAATATCACTGCAACCATACACAAAGCATCAAAGCAAGCAACAGCATGTTAGTGCACATGCATAATCACATACTGAAAGGTTCAGATGTTCAAATGTTTTAGCAGGAAGAACTGCCCACTGACACTTAAAGAGACAAACCAGTCTTGGACAGGGAGGAAATTCTTCCAAGAATATTTAAGGACTAGAAATACCAGCATTGGACTCGGAGCAAGAATGAACAATCAGTACAAAAACTTTGCAAAGGCCATATGGCATGTGTAATTTACTAATTTTTCTGCAGCGAGTGGTGCAGGTGTGAACATAGCAGTACCTGTGGGGCCCAAGCTAGAACCATGTGACAGCCCAGAGAGAGATCCACATTTGTGAGGGGTCTCCCTGGAGGAATCACTAGATGAAAGGATGGAGCAACCTTCCTCCCCTTTATACTTCTAATCTACCTTCGATGAGTTTCAAGAGTTCTTCTACTCCCAGAGCCCAGCCATTGGCCAGGCTTGCCAACCCTACAACAATGTTTGCTGGTTCCCACACTGCCTATGAAAGAAACTGAAAACAACAGCCTCACTTGAGGGAGCTATGAAGGCATGCAGAGAAAGGCCCCAGTAGCTCCTGAAATATAACACAATGATCTGGGAAAAACAAGTGACCAGGGTTGTGTTGCTGGGTGAAGGTTCCACTCATAATGCAGAAGCAGGACAGTGTAGGAGCACCCGAATATCAACCAGAATGGTGAGGCTAGCAAGAAAAACTTATCAGGTGGAAGGAAAGCCAACCCTTGTGGGAGCAAAGCATATAGGGTACCCAGGTACCCATTTCATTGATGGGTGAACATAGACAACAGGTGTAAAGAAACATGCCCAATATTTCTACCCTGGCTGGGAATCGAACCCAGACCCTAGTCGTATGAAAGGAGAGCTTTAACCACCAGGCAAAAAATCTCACTTATAGAAAGTGAACAACACCTGGCAATCAGAGGTAAAGGAGGTTATTACAAAGCACAGAGTGCATGTACAGAATTCACCAAGTCCAGAAAGATGAATATCAGTGTGATTGAAGTGTGACATATTATAGGTGAGCTCCCAGTAGAGTACTGATGTTGGATAATATCACAAAAAAAAAAAAATAAAATAAAAGTATGAAGTGGTATTATCAGTAACTACAAAAACATATATACATAAATAAAAGTACAAAATAAAACTGCTACATACAGCTTAAAATTTTGTGTAGTGTAGTGTAGTATACAAGTAGTACATAACTTACTGCATTTTCCGGCATATAAGGCACACGAGCACATAAGACAATGTGTCCAAGCAGTTGGAACATAACATTAGTAAACAACTGCTGAAGGGTAACCCAAAGCCCACCCTTGACCCTGACCTTGAGCATATAAGGCACTAGCTGATTTTCCCAAGACTTTCTGTGGGGAGAAAAGTGCGCCTTATATGGCATAAAATACGGTACTTCAAATAAAAATTAAACAATAATATTAAAAACTTACCTGAGACTCAATTACCCATTGCTCCTCTTTAACCTTGACTTCATCTGTCAAGCGCTTGAGAGCAAGCTGGGATTTGTCTCTTTCATCAGTCAACTCTGCAACAGTTGAGCCCAGCTTGGCCAGCTGTTCCTGTAAGTTGCTCACTTGAGCCCCAAGAGATTCACACCTACAGGAAAGATATGAAAATTCTATACAAAATATAAACTGAAGAAAATGAAGTAATTATATTGGTAATGAAAAAAAGGAAAATTAATTAAAACAAAACAAATATGGAAAAAAAAAATAACTTAATTTAAAAAAATGGGAATATTACAGTAAAATATAGGTGCTCATCGACTTACAGTGATTTGACTTACTTTACAATGGTGCAAAAGCACTTATTTTGGAGATGAAACTTAAGATAATTACCCAGTATAAAGGCATCAAGTCCCTAACTTGTATTCATTTATTTACTTTCCAGTACTGGAATTTAGTTACAGTAATTATTTGTTTATTTACTTATCAGTGACACTATTTATTTACTTATTTATTTAGCATATCATATTCATTTTCGACTTACAATGACTTCATCGGAACGTAACCTCCATCAAAAGTCGAGGAACACCTGTATAACAATATTCAAGAAAATAACCTTAATTAATGCAGTCTGAGAATACAGACATTCCTTTGAATTCCTGGTTTCTTTATTGTGGGTTTCATTTATAAGAACATAAGAATGCAGGAACACTGAAGAAGGCCTACTGGTCCATACAAGGCAGGTCCTCATCAAAACCATCCCTTCCTAAAGCTACCCAAGAATTTACTCCCATACCCACATTTTGAGCAGCCCATGAACAAATTGGATTATCCACAAGTTTTCTGGAAGTGCCCATATTTCAGGCTACATTCATGAATATCAGTATAAACCATATTAGAGTGATACATTATATAGATTTGGTTTTTGAAACATTAAATAAACCTAAATCTGAAACAAAATTTGTTATGCAGACATAATTTACTTTTATTCACTGTTTCCACTTTCATGGGACCTGAGGAATGTAAACCTCCATGACTATAAAATATACATGGTAAGTGTATACCATATGTGTGTGTGTGCCAACTGGATGTTTTAGTACCTTTTCTTATGAATATGCCAACTAAAGAGGATAGAGCCAATGCATGGTATGAATATTATGCAAAGAATTCAGAGCATAAAAATTAAGACAAAGTGGAGTCATTAAGGGTATAACTGAGAGGTTTAGAACATAAGAAAGAAGAAACATTGCAACAGGCCTACTGGCCTATGCAAGGGGTTGTTGAGGTACTTTGATAATACAGAGGATGGAGAGGGATAGGATGATAGAGGGTGTATAAATCTGGGGTAGAAGTTAAGGTGGTCATCTCTGGCACGGTTAGAGGGAAGGGCTAAATTTGTGCCTACTTTGTAGGTCAATAGTAACAAAGGATAATATTAAATGTTTTATGAGTAATTCACTGCTATGTTATCAGTTCTATTTTTTTTTTTAACAAATCGGCCGTCTCCCACCGAGGCAGGGTGACACAAAAAGAAAGATAATCCCCAAAAAGAAAATACTTTCATCATTCAACACTTTCACCTCACTCACACAATCACTGTTTTTGCAGAGGTGCTTAGAATACAACAGTTTAGAAGTTTTTTTTTTTTTTTTTTCAACAAGTCGGCCGTCTCCCACCGAGGCAGGGTGACCCAAAAAAAAGAAAGAAAATCCCCAAAAAGAAAATACTTTCATCATCATTCAACACTTTCACCACACTCACACATTATCACTGCTTTTGCAGAGGTGCTCAGAATATAACAGTTTAGAAGCATATATGTATAGAGATACACAACATATCCCTCCAAACTGCCAATATCCCAAACCCCTCCTTTAAAGTGCAGGCATTGTACTTCCCATTTCCAGGACTCAAGTCCGACTATATGAAAATAACCGGTTTCCCTGAATCCCTTCACTAAATATTACCCTGCTCACACTCCAACAGATCGTCAGGTCCCAAGTATCATTTGTCTCCATTCACTCCTATCTAACACGCTCACGCACGCTTGCTGGAAGTCCAAGCCCCTCACCCACAAAACCTCCTTTACCCCCTCTTTCCAACCCTTTCGAGGACGACCCCTACCCCTCTTTCCTTCCCCTATAGATTTATATGCTTTCCATGTCATATACGTATATGTATATATGTATATACGTATAAAGGTACACAACATATCCCTCCAAACTGCCAATATCCCAAAACCCCTCCTTTAAAGTGCAGGCAGTGTACTTCCCATTTCCAGGACTCGAGTCCGGCTATATAAAATAACCGGTTTCCCTGAATCCCTTCATTAAATATTACCCTGCTCACACTCCAACAGTTCGTCAGGTCCCAAATACCATTCGTCTCCATTCACTCCTATATAACACGCTCACGCACGCTTGCTGGAAATCCAAGCCCCTCACCCACACAACCTCCTTTACCCCCTCCCTCCAACCCTTTCGAGGATGACCCCTACCCCGCCTTCCTTGCCCTACAGATTTATACTCTCTCCATATCATTCTACTTTGATCCATTCTCTCTAAATGACCAAACCACCTCAACAACCCTTCTTCAGCCCTCTGACTAATACTTTTATTAACTCCACACCTTCTCCTAATTTCCACACTCCGAATAATATTTACACCACACATTGCCCTTAGACAGGACATCTCCACTGCCTCCAACCATCTCCTCGCTGCAGCATTTACAACCCAAGCTTCACACCCATATAAGAGTGTTGGTACCCCTATACCTTCATACATTCCCTTCTTTGACTCCATAGATAACATTCTTTGTCCCCACATATACCTCAACGCACCACTCCCCTTTTCTTCCTCTTCATAAATCTATCTGCCGACACGTCAATTCCCAAGTATCTGAAAACATTCACTTCTTCCATACTCCTCTTCCCCAATTTGATATCCAATTTTTCTTTATCTAAAATCATTTGATACCCTCATCACCTTACTCTTTTCTATATTCACTTTCAACTTTCTACCTTTACACACTCCCAAATTCGTCCACTAACCTCTGCAATTTTTCTTTAGAATCACCCATAAGGACAGTATCATCAGCAAAAAGTAATTGTCACTTCCCATTTTATATTTGATTCCCCATAATTTAATCCCACCCCTCTCCTGAACACCCTAGCATTTACTTCTTTTACAACCCCATCTATAAATATATTAAACAACCATGGTGACATTACACATCCCTGTCTAAGACCTACTTTTACCAGGAAGTAGTCTCCCTCTCTTCTACACACCCTAACCTGAGCCTCACTGCTCTCATAAAAACTCTTTACAGCATTTAGTAACTTACCACCTATTCCATGTACTTGCAACATCTACCACATTGCTCTCCTATCCACTCTACCATATGCCTTTTCTAAATCCATAAATGCAATAACAACTTCCCTACCTTTATCTAGATACTGTTCACATATATGCTTCAATGTAAACACCTGATCTACACATCCCCTACCCACTCTAAAACCTCCTTGCTCATCCGCAATCCTACATTCTGTCTTGCCTCTAATTCTTTCAATGATAACCCTACCGTACACTTTTCCTGGTATACTCAGTAAACTAATTCCTCTATAATTTTTACAATCTCTTTTGTCCCCTTTCCCTTTATATAAAGGGACTATACATGCTCTCTGCCAATCCCTAGGTACCTTCCCCTCTTTCATACATTTATTAAACAAAAATACCAACCACTCCAACACTATATCCCCCCCTGCTTTTAACATTTCTGTCATGATCCCGTCAGTTCCAGCTGCTTTACCCCCTTTCATTCTACGTAATGCCTCACGCACCTCCCCCACACTTACATCCTCCTCTTCTTCACTCCTAAAAGATGGTATACCTCCTTGGTATACATTTTTAAATTCATGTATAAAAAAAGTAACCACACTACCCTCTTGCATCATGTGGCATAACATACCTCCCTTGCTCATCTTCAAGCTTGACTAATGCAGTTTCTAAGTCAAAGGTGTGCTGGGCCTCGGACGCTCTCAACCTTTCTTCTGCTGTGGTGAGGGCAAGGTTGAGAGTTTCAATTTCCCGCTCTGTGCTTTCTCGAAACCTGCTGACCTCTGTAGCTCTGTTCTCTAACTCCCGGCAGCGACCACGGTACTCTCGCACCTGAGTGAGGTTTTTCCAGATTAGTCAGAAACATAATTCTTAGTTTCAAAATTATTCACGCAACAAATTACCCAAGCATAACAGGAGAGTTTTGTGTGATTATAAAGGTAATTTATGCTATACAGTACATAAATTCAAATAAAAATTAAAAATACACAAAGCATAATTCTAAAAGAGAGCATACAAAATACTTTCCAAACACTGATTTCATTACTTATTGAAATAAAAATTAAACATATCACAAACAAATTAGATTCCTGTGTCTACAAATTTAATCTGCATAATATAACTGAGGATACTGTGAAGTTTAAGTCTAACACACTACATCAACCAGTGGTTAAACTAAGGCTTCGATTTCTTTGTTAATCAGACAATTTTTTTTCCTTATAGTTTACTAACTGACATCAAGTTACTAAGTTGTACAGTATAACAAGATAGACTACTATTTCTTGCCCAGTAATGAGAGTCAAGAAATCCAGAAGCCAAATCTGTCAACCACAAAATTAATTTTAACAGCAAAGCACTAGATTTACACTATGCAGATTTTGAATCCTACCTACATAGACTTAATAAAGAATTTAATCTACTTTATCCTTAGAGTGCAAGATAAAAATGGCATCAGAAAATGATTTAAAATGATTGTTAACTATTACTACAACAGAAGGAGAGAGGATAATTGTAACTGAAGCACACAGTACGTACCTTGTTAGCTAGGCGATCTATGAGTGTTGTCTGCTTGCGGTGAACCTCGTGGAAATACTCGAGTCTCTTCTGGTACTCTTGCCACTCGTCCGCAACCTGCAAATTCTTCAGTAAAAATTCCTTGCCTGTTCTTAGAGTTTAGTGTTTATTCCAAAATATCTTCCCTCTTCCCCTCTCATTCATTCTCTTTTTCTCATATGCAGTATGTGTACATGTAGTATGTGCTCATCTGTATGTGATTGTAGGGGTTGAGTCATAGCTCATGGCCCCCACCTATTCACTGGTCTCTAATGGGTCCACTATCCTACCTCTTTTTAAAGCTATGTATGGATCCTGCCTCTGCTACTTCACTCTCTGCAATGTTTCACTTCTCAAGACCTCTAAGGCTAAAGAAGCACTTCCTAATATCCATGAGACTATCCGAGTTTTCTGACAAGTGTGGGTGTCTAAACACACACACACACACACACACACACACACAATATATAATCACAGACAGGCTATCTTAAAGTGAGACAAGCCATGGGTAGATGGAAATCTTTAGGTCAAGATCTTCTACACATCTCTGTGCATCATCAGGAGCTATGCAATGTTGCATAAGCAACAACAAGTAGACTGAGGGGAAGTTTTCTCAGAGAAAGATAAACTGTTAATACTAGCCTGTGGACAGGTTAGCATTATACACACCCACCCACCTCATCACCCCCTTCTTTCCTTTCCACAATATGGGTAAATAAATTACTGTACTCTCTCCTTGAGTAATAGCTTACAAACAAAATTCAAGCGAAGAGGCTAAACCCTGATAGGAGATCAATAAAGGTGTAGTGATATATGGTATGACTTACATGGTCGGACAAGGCAGTGTAACGTATGGAGACAGTGTCACGCTCTGCTCGCGAGGTGGCCAACATATCTTCAAGGCGACGAACCTCAGCCTCAAGGTAACGTGTCTCTTCCTGTTCAAACAAATGTAAAACACTATAATTAGAACGATAATGCAACACATTGCTATGATGTTCGTGGGGATAGTGATATTCCCGGGAGGGGGAGCAGAGGCGAGAAGAGGATTGTCAATGCTGGAAAACACAGTCAAATGTGCCTTATAAACAATACCATTTAGCCATTCTTCTGTAGACTATTTTGTTCATTCAGCCCATTTTGAAATTCTCTATATCTATCTATCTATCTATCCTATCTATCTATCATATCTTCTATCTATCTATCTCTCTCTATCTATCTATACTCTCCTCTTTCCTTCTCTATAAACTCTCTCTATCTCACATCTCCTCACTCTCTTCCTCTCTTATCTCTCTCTATCTCTCTCTATCTTCTCGAGCTCTGCTAATCTCTCTATCTCTATCTCACTATCTCTCTCTATCTCTCTCTATCTCTCTCTAACTCTACTATCTCTCCTATCTCTCTCTACTCTCTCTTCTATACCTATCTCTCTCTATCTCACTCTCTATCTCTCTCTATCTCTCTCTATCTCTCTCTATCTCTCTCTATCTCTCTCTATCTCTCTCTATCTCTCTCTATCTCTCTCTATCTATCTCTATCTCTATCTCTCTCTATCTCTCTCTATCTCTCTCTATCTCTCTCTATCTCTCTCTATCTCTCTCTATCTCTCTCTATCTCTCTCTATCTCTCTCTATCTCTCTCTATCTCTATCTCTATCTCTATCTCTATCTCTATCTCTATCTCTATCTCTATCTCTATCTCTATCTCTATCTCTATCTCTCTCTTTTACACAGGGATTTTACAAGGTAAGGTTAAGGACTCCCAACTTTATTTACAAGCTAAGAAACCTTTTTAAAAGGGTGGACGGGTAAGCCAATGGAAGGCCTCGGTCAGATGACCAAATGCTCCAGCTGCAGGTCATCATATGACTAAGACCCGCATCAGGAAACACTTGTCCTGTTTCCTAACAAATCTAACCTAGCCTGTGACACATTATAGGATCTATTATCGACAACTAATGTGGCAAATGTTGCAAATGTATGGAATAAGAGGTAGGTTATTGAAAGCAGTAAAGAGTTTTTACGAGGATAGTGAGGCTCAGGTTAAGGTATGTAGGAGGGAGGGAGATCATTTCCCAGTAAAAGTAGGCCTTAGACAAGGATGTGTGATGTCACCGTGGTTGTTCAATATATTTATAGATGGGGTTGTAAGAGAAGTGAATGTTTGGGTGTTGGCAAGAGGTGTGGGGGTTAAAAGATAAAGCAGCTAATACAAAGTGGGAGTTGTCACAGTTGCTCTTTGCTGATAGACAGTGCTTTTGGGAGATTTTGAAGAGAAGTTGCAGAGGTTGGTGGATGAGTTTGGTAGGGTATGTAAAGAAGAAAATTAAAAGTGAATACATAGGAAAGAGTAAGGTGATGAGGATAACAAAAAAAAAATTAAGTAACAAAAGACTGGATTTCAGATTGGAGGGAGAGAGTATGGAGGAGGTGAATGTATTCAGATACTTAGGAGTGGACGTGTCAGCAGATGGGTCTATGAAAGATGAGGGGAATCAGAATTGACGAGGGGAAAAAGGCGAGTGGTGCAATGAGGAGTCTGGAGATAAAGAACTTTGTCCATGGAAGCAAAGAGGGAAAGGTATAGTTATATCAATGCTCTTATATGGGTGTGAAGCATGGGTGGCGAGTGTTGCAACAAGAAGGCAGAAGGCAGTGGAAATGTTGTGTCTGAGAGCAATGTGTGGTGTGAATATAATGCTGAATTTGTAGTTTGGAAATTAGGAAGAGGTGCAGGATTACCAAAACTATTATCCAGAGAGCTGAGGAGGGGTTGAGGTGGTTCGGACATGTAAAGAGAATGGAAAGAAATAGAATGATTTCGAGTGTATAAATCTGTAATGGAGGGAAGGCAGGGTAGGGGTCGGCCTAGGAAAGGTTGGAGGGAGGGGGTAAAGGAGGTTTTGTGTGCGAGAGTCTTGGACTTCCAGCAATTATACGCGAGTGTGTTAGGTAGGAGCGAATGGAGACAAATGGTTCTTACGTGCTGTTGGAAGGGATTCAGGGAAACCGTCAAGCTGGACTCGAGTCCTGGAGATGGGAAGTACAATGTCTGCACTCTGAAGGACGGGTGTTAATGTTGGTTTTATAACTGTAGTGTAAGCAAGCCTCTGGCAAGACAGTGACGGAGTGAATGATTAAAGTTTTTCTTTTTCGGCCCACCCTGCCTTGGTGAGAGACGGCCGATATGTTAATAAGAAAAATTAATAATAATTTATATCACGTGAACACACTATACCCATAGGGAGTCATGCAGAGCCTGGGGAGAGGCGATCAGGTTTGATCAAAGTGGTTGGTAGCTCCAATTCCTCGGATCAAGAGCCCTTCACTTGCCTTGAGGTGCCTCCATCGAGAGGACAGATTGTAATATCTTCATCTGTTGAACAGTGTTGACAATGGCGTCAATCTCCTCGTGTTGGCATCCTTCACCATGCTCGTTTCCTCTGCTTATTTACCACTCTCCTCCTTCCTTTATCATTTATTTCCTCCATACATTCTTTACCCTCCTACACCCTTCGTTTCCTTCCTGTTCCTTTTTCTTTTGCCTATTCATTCTTCTTTCCTTCTTTTTCCTTCATTATCCTTTTCATCTACTTCTGCTGCAGGTTATGTAATACTATTTCAAAGACAAAGAGGGAACACTGTCGTAAGTTTTCAATATATCGTGAGCGAAGGGGATACATCAGGGGAGCATTATAGTCAGGGGGAAATATGTTCAGGAGGTTAGTGTGTCGCACATCTACGAGTAAAGTGTTGGATAAGTCTTCCTTCACTTCCCTCTCCCCAGCATGAGCATGTACACTAGATTCTTCGGTTCTCATAAGAGAGAAGCACTGTAGTAGGCCTACTGGCTCATGACTCGATAAATCATCAATAACACGACTGTAAACAAACCACCGCTACCGCTTGCATGGGTTCAAACCCCACCCGTTCCGTGGTTTTTCTACTAGCCCATCTCGATCATATTCTAAGTAAAACTTATATTAAGGCTCTATACAGCGCGATTTATTTGTAAATGTACTTGAAAAAAAAAAAGCGTTCAAAACTGATTAGCGCATACCATGAGAAGGCATTTTCACGTTCTATGTATATTGAATGACATTTTTTCCCACTCACATTTACAAACAACAACTCGCTGAGTCTTATTTGAGGGTAAATTGTATGTGCAAGTTCTATGTACATGTGAAAAGACCCATTGTCTAGTAGAAACAAAAGATTAAAAGTAAAAATATTAAACTTTCTATTCTGGAGTGTGACTACTCTATTCCTATCACTCCCATCTGTTATACATAAATAACTAAAATATAATGAACACTTGTTAATGCTCAATAATAACCCAAAAACTCAGGAGATTGACTGATCCGTATATTTCGACCCCTTCCTCAAGCTCGCGCAAAATTCGTGTTAGCGCACGCTCTAGCTAGACTCGTCGGCTATGACTTATCTAAGACACATCAAATAACATAGGCCGCTGAGTTGAGCCATTCATGGATTTTTGACAGGTTCTTGTTAAAATTAACCTCTCTTTCCCCAGGAGCTATGTCACCCCTTTGGAATTTAGCGCTTCCCTATAATAATATTATTAAAGCAATATAATAATAATAATAATAATAATAATAATAATAATAATAATATATAATTTAATTTCCAACAGCAGCAAACTATATCATTTAATATATATTAAAATAATAGATTTCTTATGCTGACACTGCAATAGTTACTGCATAGTCACGGTCACTGCACCATCACAACACAGCTCCTTTCATTGTCCAGCTACTGTCACGGTCGCTACACTATGACAGTCATCCACTGCAGAGACATTTGTTAACCCAGAAGTGACATGTTTACACAGGGAACGCTCTGGCTAAAACATTCCCGGGGCATAATAAATCGGTAATAATGATACCTTCCTTATTATAGTAAGAGCTAGGAACAATGAGTCCTAACCATAATTTATAAGGGGTGGACCGGTAAGCCAGCGGAAGGCCTCGTTCAGATGACCAGAAGCTCCAGCTGTGGATCATCATGTGACTAAGACCCGCGTAAGGAAACACTTGTCCTGTTGCCAGACAAACCTTCCTTAAACTAACTTCCCTCAGACCAGACCCCCCCCCCCCACACATCGAAGGCGTTGAAACTCATTTAATAACCCTGACATGCTACTATTCACACTAACGGAGAAGATATGTAAAAAGAGTCGCGGAGCACTTGGAAAGTAGGTTCAAAACCAGTTAAGAGCACAGGTTTGGAGATGGCAAATCTTGTTTCACAAACCTACTAAAGATCTATGACAAAGTAAGAGAAGTCAGGCAGGAAAGTAAGGGATGGGTGGATTGTATATTTCTTCAATAAATCATTTGATATTGTGCCCCGCAAGAGACTAGGACAAAACCTCTTGGAGCAAGCATGAGTAACAAAGCAGAGACGAAGTTTAATTGTCCTAGAAAAGATGCTAGCATGGAGAGAGAAAGAGAGAGAGAAGAGAGAGAGAGAGAGAGAGAGAGAGAGAGAGAGAGAGAGAGAGAGAGAGAGAGAGAGAGAAAAAAGAAGCCGTAAGTAGGAGATGGGAACGACGTACGAAGAAGTTCAGATGAAGAAAGATAGAAGAGAGAGGAGAAGAAAAAGAGAGGACAAGACAAATGGACCAGAGAGGAGAATGCAAGATTACTGAGAGAGTAGAGATCAAGACAGAAAAGAAGGTTATGAAAACGAGAAAGGGCAAGAGTGTAACGAGGAACCGAGTGCAGATTGAGAGTAATGAGCTGAGACTCAGTCGAGGAGAAAGGACCAGCAGACAGATAGAAACAGATCCGTCCTCCTAGGTTAATTTAAACTTGCTAAGTATACGTTAGGTTTGCATAAATTAAATAAGAATTAATACATATGACGAATTAGCATGCCGTAGCCTAATTCGATGAAGTGATAGGTGTGGGTAACAG